TGTGTGTTAGCATCTCCTGCATCCCCCAGGATCCCCAGCTCCCACAGCATCCTCAGAGTCTTACCAGGCTTTGTGGGTGGCCTGGTCCTTTTCCTCAGGCTGATGAGGCACCTAGCCCAGGGCTGGTGAGGTCCTGACTGCTCTGAGGGCTCCCTAAACGTTCCACTATACTCAAGTTCAGCTGAAACATCTCTGGGAGCAATGTGGTTACCTCTGGTGACTGAGTAACTGGGACAGTGCTTCCTTATTCCCCATCTGTCAAATGAGGCTTCTGTGAGGGTACTGTCAGGAACTTCTAAGACTACCAACTTCACATTCTCCTGACCACACAGACCTGGATTGCTCAGCCCAAGCCATCTGCAGGAGGATTAGGAACTCATTGGGGTGTGTGCATGTGTGCGCACACCACCCCAGGGGGCTGCTCTAAACTTAAGAGAATGGAACTGAATGCTTGGCTGAAGGTCACACAGGGATGATGGGTGAGCGGGCCAACCAGTAGAGGGGGACAGAGCAAGACTGCCATAGGTGATACCAGGAGGGGCCAGTGACTGAGAAGCGTGCAGTGTAATAGAGACCCACTGGGGTGGAGGAGGAGGGTGTGGCAAGGGCTGCTGGGCCCTGGGGCCTAGATTCCTAGTTCTGCTGGAGCCTGCAGAGTTAGGACTTGTTTATTCTTGGCAGGAAGGCTAGTCCTGGGGGGGTGTTGGAGGGGGGGCAAGGCCTTTTCAAAAAAAAATAATAAAACATTCATTTAGAAGGCTCCCAAGGCGTGCTGAACTGCAAAAGGGTCCTGGAAAAAATGCTGAGAGGGTTTAAGTGTAAATGGACCCAAAACACCATAATTAAATTTCCCTTAAATTTACCAGAGTTTGGGGTCAAAGAAAAAAATAAAACTTAGGGAAAATACACTTGAGGTTTCAGGCCAAGAGCTTAGGAAAATAGATTTCTGAACGGCTCAGCAGCTACCGGCCCGGCGCTGCCAGTCCCTGGGTTGTCGAGGCCTCACCCCTATCGCTGCTAGGCACTGCCCTGAGCACACACTGTTCCTAGGGGCTTTCGAGGCACCCTGGTTGTTCCCTTTCAGCTCTTCCTGCTTTCTGCTGAGTTGCTCGTCTTTGTCAGGTAGCCCTACCCTCGCCCCGCATCTCTCCCAGCTCCGGTCTCCACTCTTTACTCATCCAGGCACATTTTCCAGACCGGGAAAAAAAAAAGTTAGGACTTGAGGTCTAGTGGTCTGAGTGAACCAAGGGGCAAAGAGGCCAGAAATCTTGGTCTGGAATATCACAGCATACCCAGGCTCCCAACAGTGCATGATTCTTGTTATTGCCCTTTTTGCTCAACCTGTCAGGAATCTCACAGCTAAAACTAAGGATCTTACAGAGTAGCTAGTGTTGGCTGAAGGCTTCTGGAATGTTTTCTCTTCTTGTTCATGTTCTTTAAAATTCCATTTTTTTTGTTAAAATGTGCAAATCAAATGTACTTTTATTTTAATCCTCAAATTATGAGAATAAATTTGAAGGGCAGGAATGACACACTTTCACAGTCACATGGCCATTCAAACCTGCTCCCTGTTTCTTCTTTGGGGGAACCGGCTCAGGCCAGTCCTCTAAGACAAGAGTTCTGAGCCCCTTCTCCATGGTACTGCACTGACTCCTGAGCCTATGAGCACACAGTAATGATGTTTCCCAGTAGCTGAAGGAATGGGGATTCCTAGGAGAAGACAGAGCAGCTCTGGGGCTTTGAAAGCCTTCAGTCCTTCCAGCCAGGCCGTGGAGCCCACTGGGGCTCAGTTTCCCTTATCTTTTCACTCAGCTTAATGGCAGCTGCCCCGTTGGAGTGCACCCTCCCTGAGTGCAACCTTGGCAGAGTCCCAGGGCTCCCCCTGCCTGGGTTCCAGGTGCACTGTGGCCTATAGCAGCTGCCACCTGCCAGGGACCCTGTGGGTAAGAGGTGAGTTGTGATTTCAGGTCTGTCCAGGAGCCACCCCCTCCCACTCCTCCCGGCTGACCGTACCTCACAGCCATCTCCCTAGCCTCAGCCCTGGTCTGGCTGGGGAGGTCAGGGAAGGGCAAATATCAGGCTGCCTACTGCCAGCCTGTAGGGATTCCGTCCCAGGGCACATGCACCTGGTGCCCCACCACAGTCTCTTTCCTTGTTGCTCTACAGCATAGGCCCCAGAAAGCTGAAGCTACCCAGCTCTGAGTCCCTGAGCTATTGTCCCTAATATGTCTGACTTGGCTTCTGCCCTCAACTCATGTTTTCTGAAGAAGACTCCATCCATGTGAGCCTTAGAAAGCTGGTGGGTCCCCCAGAAGTGGGCCAGGAGGTGTAGGCATGGAAGGGGACTTTATCATTAGGATAGGGGTATCATCAGCACTAGCTGTCGGCAGGCTCCAACCCTTGTCCCCTGGGACTTTGCCATGGGCCAAAGAGAACGACCTCCTCAAAACCTGGTTGTAATAACAGCCTGGAGTTCACCTGAGAGGCTTGGGATAATATAGTGGTTAAGTTAGAGGCAGCATCATAGAAATTTAAGGGCTGGCACTATCCTGCACTCATGACAGAATGGTGAGCTCAGCCTCATCTGTGTAGGTCTCTGAGAAGCAGGTGGACTCCTGCTGAACCTACTGCCTTGGGAAGAATCACTTCCTATAAGAAAATCACACTGAGAACAGACTCTCCTTCCAGGAATCACATCCTTGTATCAAGAGCAAGGCAAGTGAGCTGCAGCTACTTAGGGGAGGTACACAGGGACCACAGAATAAACTCCCACAGAATCAGTGGAGTCTTAAAAATGCTGTGCCCCTTTGATGTAAGGGCCACCAGACAGTGGCAGCCATGTTGGAGAGTCTATCACACCTAGGCCATGTCAGGCTGTGCATGATATCAAGGGACCAGGAACTGCCAGGTGTGTAGTGGGCAGAAGATAGCTTCCCTCAAAAGCAGGTCTATGTGTTATCTCCTGGGATCCATGAATGTGACCTTATTTGGAAAAAAGAGTCTTGCAAGTATAACAGTGGGAAGAGGCTTGAGGTGAGGTCATCCTGCACTTTATGAACAGCTCTAAATCCAACCACAAGTGTCCTTACGTGAGGCAGGAGATGTGGGAGAGATGGCAAAGGCACAGAAGCCATGTGAAGGTAGAGGAAGAGACTAGAGTGAGATAGCCATAAGTCACGGATGCTTGGAGGCCCCAGAGCTATATATAATAGGCGGGAAGAAGCCTCCTCAGGGCCTACAGCCAGCCCAACTTGACCTCAGACTTCTGTTGTCCTGAGTTGGGAAAGTAAATTTAAGACAACCAGATTTTAATCTGGAAGTAGGCTCAAGACAGGAATACAAGTTGTGAACCGCACATAGCTAAGTTTTGATGAAGGGGGCTAACCCTCACACTGCTGCAGTTGAGCAGGGGTCTACGAGAGACGGCCAATGCCAGGCCACAGGGCTGGGGGAGGATTAGAGGAGTAGAAGTACCCAGTCTGGAATCCTCTTTTCTGCATGTGTAGCCTATTTCTAAAACAAGGTAGCTTGAGAGATATGATCTGTTGGGCCATGGGGTTCAGAGAACAACCAGCACTGGCCTGAGATTCCTGACTGGGTATTTCGAACAAGGAGGTCATCTGAGAAATAAAGAAGTATTGCTGTTTGGATGGATGCTCAGCTCCTGGTTGGTACAGGGTGTGGAGGGTTCTGGTAAATCCTCCAGACGAAGGGGGTGGAAATAGGGGTCAGAGCTCACATTCTGGTTCATTTACTGATAACTAATCTGCCAATAGATTAGGGGAGAATGTCTGCTATGACCCCCTGGGGTGCCATCCTGGGAGAGGACCTGTGGGCAGCTGCCTGGGGGTGCCATGGGAACCTAGGACTGGATTCTAGCCAGTCTGCAGGGAGGGGTGCTTGGCCAGAGCAGGAGTAACAGTAGGCAGAGCTGCCCAGCTCTAGAGTGGACACAGAGGGATAGCATGAGGGCTCTGGGGCCAGGGTCCTGCTCAGCTATCTGGGGAAGATAAGAGTGATCAGTGAGCCAGTGAAGGGTTTTCATGGCTCACTTGCCATTATTTTCTGATGAGCAGTGTTTTATGTCCTTCAAGCCACACACAGACTGGGCAGAAGCATTGAACCAAGACCCCAGGTATCTGGCTCCATAGGCCTCATCAGACCTTGTGGAGTTTGACTGAAAGCCAGACAAGGCTCCTTGCCTTGGGAGGGTAGATACAGAAGCCATCAGTCACAGGGTGGTGGTGTTGGTTGCAGTTACAGAAGTTCTGCCAGGTAGGACCCACAGCTTGCCAGCATTGATAGGGTGATCAGGCTGATCCTCCAGGGACCAGCTGTCAGCGTGACACTCCCCAGATGGAATGTGTCCCCACGATGGGTGAGCTGTGCTAGGACATCCATAGGCTGGAGTTCAGGCAGGCCTAGGGCAGGGCAGGCTCCCCTACTTTGTATCCCAAGCTCTTCTGGTTATTCCCAGGCTGGATAGTAAGTTTCTTACAAACCTGTGTGTTCTTGGGAAAGTGTGAACATCATCCCTGAGCAGGATGCGGGCCACTGGACAGTTTGATAAATACAGCAACGTGTCCTCCTTTTCTAGGGTGCAACCCCTGTGTCTTTCATAGTGTAAACTCTGTTCCATCCTTCGCTGAAAAGCTTCTTCACACGTATTTGAATTTCTGGAATACTGTCAGGCTCTGCACTTGAGGTTTTAGCGCTCTTTGCACTGGGTTCAGCTCAGCGGTTCACTGTGAAGACGCCCTAACACCTGGACCCCCACTGAGGTCAACCTTCTGAGCCCCTGAGCACAGCTTTATTGGAGGGAGAAGCGTGCTGGTAGACAGTCCTGAGCTCAGCACTGCTTCAAGGGGTCGAGTGTGTGACCCTTGCTTCGCCTGCTCCGCCCCAGCTGGGCTCCCACGCCCTCCGGGACCGCCCGGCGCCCCCGCCTAACCACGCCTCTTCGGATCCCCCGCCCCTTGGCCGCCGGGGAAGGGGAGTGTTCGGGGCGTGGCGGGAGCAGCCCCCCCCACCCCCGCCGCTGTTGCGCGCCGGGCAGCCCCAGTTCAGTGCGCTGTGGCAGCGGGGGTGGCGGGAGCAGCTGGCGCCGTGTGGTCCGCTCCGGCGGGGGGGACTCACCGGTGGGCGACCGGCCACTGGGACAGTGGAGACCCTGGAAGAGCGGGCTGAGAGCCGGAGTCGCGCGTGGTGAGCTGGGCTCTAGCGGCCGCCAGGTTGGTGTGAAGGACTCGGCTGGCGCTCGGAGGGGCCGGGCGGGCTTCGAAGCAGTAAGGGGGTGCGATGGGCTGGAAGTGGAGTGGTTCGTAAGTGCGGTGAGGCCGGGCAAGGCGCGGGTTTCCCGCTCTGGAAAGTTTGCGGCTACAGCCGCCGTCCTGGGAGGGCTCTGCGGCAACCAGGGAGGGAAGGAGGAGGGAGGGACCGCGGCTGGGAGGAGGCGGCCGGCGCCAGGCAGCCCGGGAGAGTTAGGAGTCGGCGGCCGGGCGGGGCGGCCGGGGGTCCGGGTTTAGGATTGAGGCCGCGCTTCTCGGGTGCCCTCCGGAGTAACTCAGTACTCTCCTCCTGTAGTCTCCACAGCGGCGCCCTCCCACCGGCGCCGGAGCCGGGCGTGGGGGATTGCAGCATGCCCGCGCGTGCCGCTTGAGGACCCCACGGCCCGCGCTCTGGAGCCATGGTAGTCCCGGCCTGCGTGCTAGTGTTCTGCGTGGCGGTCGTGGCTGGAGGTACTTCCGAGCCTCCGGGTCCAGAGCAGCGAGTTGTGCGTAGGGTGGCAGGTAAGGACCGACCCAAGGTGTTTTTCCAGGGATCGCCCTTGACCACAGGGGCTTTGGCAACGGCGAACGACCCTTGGGTGAGGAAGGGGCGTTGGGTTGAGTACCACCACAGTGGCCAGTTCGCCCGGGTTTTGTACCCCGCCACGCAGATCGCTGTCAGTTCTGACGCGGCAGTTTATGGGGGGCGTCTGTAGGCTGGGAGCCACCACACAAGTGCGAGGCGTCACGGGGACCGGTGCGCCGTGGCGGTGGTCCCAGGCCGAGGCGCGTCGGGAAGGCGCGCGAGCTGACTTCCCACGATTCTTATTGTTGATTCTCGGATTTGAGAGGACGAAAAGTGTCTGTTATTGATTCTGTCGTTCTCCCGGAACAGTTCTTGCTCTGTTTCAGCTAAGGGAAGGCTGGACTTGGCGAAGTGGATAGTAGTATTCCAGCCAAAGTTCGGCTCTCAAGTGTTTCGCATGACAAGGTGACAGCTTCAGTGCCGCCGCTCCCCTCTTATCCTGTAGGCGGCCTGGAGGGTCGGTTCCCAGGGGCGCGCACCGACCGCCCTGTAGGCCGCACGCTGGGAGATAAAGGGCGGTTGTCCCAGGATCTTGGTGCCGCCTAGGTAGCCCCGCTGGTCCAGAAAGTCCGTTGGGACACTTGAGTGTCCTTAGATGGGGCCAGAGGCCAAGGATACGAAAGGGAACCACGGTCGGCTCTGCGTCCCTCGGCCGCTCGGAGGTGCGACGCGCGCGGCCCCAGCTGTGCCCGGTTGCAGCGTGGCAATGCAGAGCAGCGGTCTGGCGGGAGGCCGCGTGAAGGGAGGCTTTCTCTCGGTAAGCTGTCGCCCCACCCGAGCTGAGGCCCGAACAGCCGCTCCTTTGTACCTCCGCGGCCACAGACCGCGCATTGATGGCGGCGTGGCCTCTCGGGGAGGTGCGAGTGTGGCGGGCGCAGCGGGAGGAGGCAGATGGCGTTGTGCCCCTCCCGGCGCCCCCGCGCCCCTCTCTCCAGCGGCTGTAGTCTCCTGGAACAATGTCATTTTCTTTCTTTCTCTCTCTCTCTCTTTTTTTTTTTTTTATGAATGAAAGTGGGCCGGGAGTTTGAATGTGCGTGTCTTTCAGCGGCGTGACAGAGGCGGTCGGGAGGTCAGCGCGCGCTTTTAGCGCTTGCTCGAACTGCTTGGCTTCCCGGGCGGAGACGGGACCACATTAGCATGTGCATTCAGATGAAGATATTACTCCTTTCGTCGGGTGTCACTGAGCTCCGGTAGGGGCGGTGGGGCGGAACGCACACCCTCTCTGTGCTTCAGGCAGTGACGGTGGCCTCCTGGCACGACCCTACTGCGGGCAACCGAAGCTGAGCCAGGCCGGCAGGGATCGGTGGGATGTGCGCCCGCCCCTCGTTTCTGCGTTTGAGCTGGTGAGACAGGTAGGGAATTGATAGGCCAATAAAGTTAATCCGGTTCCTTAACGAGATGGGCCAGGCTGTAAAAATACAAAGACATGGTGAAGTTTACAGAGGTCTGGGCTGGCGCTTTCCCTACGAACGTAAATTACCAAGCTGGAGCTGGCTGGGGTCAAGGGCTGTGGGGCGGGGCTAGGTCCCAGCCTAACCTGGCCACCCTTGGTGGGGCAAGCCCTGCTGGTATGTTTAGTGTAGGAGAGTAACTCGTAGGGGTCTAGAGGTTGACCCCCAGGCCGGCTTGCAGAAGCAGGGCCTTCCACCCCCCCATTCCCCGGGCTCCCGAGGCTGGACTTTGAGCCTTGCTAGCCCTCCCAGTGGTTCATTAACCTGGGCTGATCTTAGACTCTGGAGCTTTGGATCCTATGCTGAGTCTAGAATCTCCTTGTCCTCTACGTCGCAAGTTTCACTTGGAACCTGGACGACACCCTCAACCCCCGTAGTTGTGCCTAGAAGGAAAACGAGTTACCCAGGGTGGGTTAGGGGGTAGATGATGTTTTGGGGAGAGGTGGCCTGCCAGGTTGAGAAATTACTGAGCTGTGAACAAAGCCACTTGGGGTTGGGACCTACCTCAGCTTGGGTATTCTCCTAGAACTTAAGTCTCCTCACCTGTCCTGCTAGAGAGGACTGGTAATGGCAGGGTTGTTTGGGGGGATTAAACCAGATAATCCCCAGTAAGCCCTCATTAGCCCGCCCAGCCTCTGGATTTTTCTTTCATTTTTTTCTGTCTTCCTTTCTTGACTTTGTTATAAAAGTGTGGAAACTGGAATGTCTCAAAGTGAGATGGTGGGGAGTGCAAAGGAGTAGTAAGACAGGCAAGAGACCAATGGCTTCAGGGCCCCTTGGGTCACCCTCCTTTCTCTTGGGTTATTTTACTCATACACCTCCCACACCAGCTGTGTTCACTATCAAAGCAGGTGTTGCTCAGATCTGTGTCCTGGTTTTGCTCCAAAGTCCAAGTCTGTGGAGTTCTTAGGGTGACCAACCTCAGACACGTCTGGATTTGATGCTGGTTTTGTAGAGCACACTTGCATTGCAACAGGAGTGACCAGAACTTGGGCTGTCAGGTCCTCCAGGCAGGGGATGCAGCCCTCCCTCTGGCTGGTCAGCTGTGGTCTCACACCATTGTTTGACTTAAGAGGCTTTGGTATAGGCGCCCCTCATTGGCACCCTTTTTTTACAGGCCTCTGGGCTTAGGTCTGCAAGTTGGGATTTGCACATTGTGCCGTGGTGGAGGAAACAGCAGCAATCTGTGAGACCCTAGGCCCAGTACAACTTCATTGGGATACAGTGTCTCTTAGCCTGCAACAGTGAGCATGTGGTAACCAGGTCCGTGTTAGTACCATGCAGCAATGTGGTTAGGTGCTATGGGATCCATGTAGTAGGGACATTGCCTCTTTTAAAAGCACAACAGAAGTACCAGTGCTTGTGTGCTGCATTTGGCTCCTTTATTAGTAGAGCCTAGGGAGTTACTCATGTACTCCTGGAGGCTGACGGGTGTGGGAGTTCCCCTGGTCAGTGCTCTGCTTCTACTGCCTCAGAATATGGTATACTATTGTATTCTGCATTGTCTCAAGCACTGTCCAACACTGTCCTTCCCTTGTTGCTACCTGAGTCAGGTCATACGTTCCTCTAAACCCTGTGACCCTAGGGTGGTTGTTGGTGGATACATTGTTGCCCAAGGCCCCCAAAGTCCAGGTGTCTGGTTTCGCCTAGCTCCTAGCTGACAAGATGGATGGATAGATCAAAGGTCAGCTCTTTGAGCTGACTGGACCATTTCCCCTTGCCACCCTATACCTCCGGTCTGACTTGGGAAGGCCATGTTATTTTCCAGTCCATCTTTGGATTAGGTTGAAGCAAATACTTGTGTGAATGGCTTGACCGGTTGTCTTGCCCAGACCAAACTGGAACCAACTGACTGTTGCCTTTGGGCCAAGGCCTGGACTGAGGCTATTGACCAGCCTGTTCTTGCTCTTCTGTGGAGGGAGAACTCAAGCAGCTTCCAGCACTGGGTGGTCCCCATAGGACGGCAGCAGGAATGGAGAACTGGAAGTCAGGATAGTAGGCTCCTGGCTATGGGGCCTACCTAGGATAACTTAAAGCCGTGAGGCTCTGAAGGACATGAGCTCCGTTGATATTTTTGGGGTATATGGTTCCCTCTGTCTGTCAGAATCCCGATGGACTTTGAGCCTGTGGGCTGTCTCTGGGATGGACAGAATTAGGCCCAAGGACTGGTGTGACCAGAGTGGACAGCTGGGCCTCGAATCTAGGCCATGCGTCAGCGGAATGACAAGTGACATTATAGCCAGTCCAGCTGGATCTGAGGAAGGAGGTCTGCTTAGCAGGACCACCCACTCCTGTCCTGGGCCCCAAGCCCAGATACCCTGTGATGGGCATTGTCAAGTTCTGGCAGGGAAGCCTGGGGGAGATAGCCCAGCTGGTGATGTGTCCTTGAGGGTGAAGTCTTTGGGCCCCCTCGTGAGCAGGGCAGCACCTGGGCAGGGGAGAAGTGTATTACTGGTGTCTGCCTAATGGAGGAGCTATGCTACTCCAGTTCCTTAGCCCTCAGGGTAGGAGGCTGGCTCCACTTGACTCACATGGCCACTCTGACAGTCCCCACCCCCAACCTGGTCCTCATTTGTGAAATGTGGATCCTGTGTTCTCAGCCACCCTGTGAGCTCATATAGACCTCATAGCCCACTGACTAGAGACCTAAGAGACCAGAATGGTGTCTTTAATGTCTGTCGTAATTTCCCAGCTGGCTATGTGAGATGGGTATGTAAGTTGCAAGGCATGGACTGACCAAGGATCCCTCAGCTGGTATACACAGCTCCTACAAACAGCAGCCCTCATGGTGTATGCAAGCAAGGGCTGCCCACCTATGTTCTTGCATGACCTTGTGTTTGATTTTGTTTTTGAGAAAGTCTCACACCATAGCCAGGCTGGCTTTGAGCTTGTGGCAATCCTCTTGCCTCAGCCTTCTGAGTACATGAGCGACCGTACCTACCTTTCTCTTTCCTGTTGTCAAAGTGTGTGCTGTTCCCTGGTTCTCCATCCAAACTGGTTTAGAAGCCAAGATGAGGGTTGGGTGCAAAGAGGGTTCTGAAAGGGCTTCTCTATTCTTTCTCTGAGCTTTGAGCCAAAGGCCAGGGAAGGACAGCTTGTCTCTAACCTGCTTTTGTGCCTCCCTGTGAGCTAAGAACTGATTTTACATTTCCAAATGGTGGAAGGATCAGAGGAAGAGGAATTGGTGACTTTTCTTGGTGCTGAGGATGAGCTCAGGGCTTCAGGCATTTTGGGCAGGTGCTGTACCACAGAGCTGTCCAAAACCCTTCTTGGCGCTTGTAGATGATTAGGTATCAGGAGAGCTTATGCCTCTTCAGGTAATCTTTGGAAGACAGATTCATCCTATAGGGCAGAGCCAGAAGCCTTACCACAGACCATTGACAGAGCTGAGACACTGATGGCCCAGGCACTTACTAAAACAGTTTTCCACCCCTGGTTTGAGCATTGTCTGACAGGACCCCAGGCTCCAGGGCCACATCCCTCACTTGCCTACATACAGCCTTTGCTAGTGTTTGCAAAGTGAAGTGCTGGGCCTACAGCATGCTGCTTTGGAGAACTTGTTTCATAGTTTTATCATTTCTTCCACAGAGGTTCTAGGGCCTGAACCTAGCCAGCAGGAGCAAGTGGCCTTTGGCAGTGGGGACACCGTGGAGTTAAGCTGCCATCCCCCTGGAGGTGCCCCCACAGGCCCCACTGTCTGGGCTAAGGATGGTGCAGGGCTGGTGGCCTCTCACCGAATCCTGGTGGGACCTCAGAGGCTTCAAGTGCTAAATGCCTCCCATGAGGATGCAGGGGTCTACAGCTGCCAGCAGCGGCTCACCCGGCGTGTACTGTGCCACTTCAGTGTGCGGGTGACGGGTAAGTGCTTGGTGGGTGGAGTGGCAAAGTGTTGAACAGCTGTATAGCCAGGGAAATCAGGAGTGTTGCTGGTTGTTGATAGAGAGGAAGGGGTACTCCTAAGTAGGTGCCATCTGAATGCATGGCCTTGTGAAGGCAGGACCCCCAGGGTAGGGCTGTGGGCCCTGAAGGTGGTGAGCAGTGACCTCAGATATGGGAAGCAGCAGGTCTTTGGATGTAGGGGTATCACAGAACCCCCCACTTGTAACTTGCAGATGCTCCATCCTCAGGAGATGATGAAGATGGGGAGGATGTGGCTGAAGACACAGGTGAGATTAGAGCCCAGGTACACTGCGCAGGTTGGGGTCGGGATGCCTCTCTGGTGGTTAGAGGTGGGTAGACCGGAGCAGTGAGGGGCAGGCTGCTCTGCAGGGACTTTGGTATTGACTCTGGCGGGAAGGGGTACCACAGGTGTGAGGATAGCCAGGCATGGAGCTCAGATTGTTGCTGAGGAGCAAGTAGATCCAGGGATGAAGGGCTCTAGTTGGATCAGGCCTGCAGGAGGAAACAGTGGATGTGCCAGGCTGAGGTATACATTGTAAAGAGGTCATCACAGAGGGAATATGTGTGTGTGTGTGTGTGGCGGGGTCTATAACTTGGAGACTAGGCTGTGGGGACTGAGTACTTGGACCATTTGGAGACTTCTGGGGAAGAGTGGACAAGGTGTTGAGAAATGAGTCTCTGGTGTATGGAGGCAAGGAGAGTGGGTACAGGGGCTTGTATGAGATTTGAGAGTGGACTCTACACAGGAATCTAGCACTGATGCCATCAGAGACTACTGTACTGAGGAGTTGTTTGGCCTCTCATTTCCCTTTTTCTTTTGGCTTACCAGGTTGTGCTCAGAGCATAATTTCTAACCTAGTTTCCCCCTGCCCCTGGCTCCTGCACCAGCCACATTACCTGTAGCCTTGCTCTAAGTTTGTGTCTTCTGCCTTTCTGCCTTTCCCAGGCTGTATTTAGTGCCTATGTCCAACATGGGCTTAGGCTCTGGGGTGACTTAAAGGGTCACCTTCTGGACTTTGCTGGTAGTGGGCAGCATT